AGCCTCTTTTTCATGATTTGTAAAATGGAGATAAAACCACCTGTTATGGCCATTCTTTATTAAAATAAAATAAAAATGTGAACTATAAACTGAAAGTCTGGAAACAAGTTGAAGACATTAATAATAATTTAGGTCTACTGCATAGGTAGGAAGAAGTAGATCCTAGGAATATTGTTATATTATTACATTCCTAGGATATTGTTAAATGCTGTCAACATGGGAATAAGCAATGTGATATCCTAGGAATATTGTTGTATTCCTAGAATACACGCTGTTCAAGTTAGATATAGTGGTTTAATATTAGGTAATTAAATATGAAATGTACGATTTCAAATCAAAAGTTTATTATATCTCAAGCAGTACAATTAATCAAAGTATGCGCCTAAACTATTGACACACTTTTGCCATCTTAATGGTAGCTTGCTTATGCTACCAGTGAAGAAGCGTAGAGAGTGAGTTGCGGTGAAATTATGAAAGGTGTTTTCCACAGCTTGTTGAGAATTGAATATTTTTCCTTGTAAGAAGTGGTCCAAAGCCTGGAAAAAGTGGTAGTCAATTGGTGCAAGGACTGCTAAATACGGTGGATGACAGAGAGTTTCCAAGTCCAGCTGCTGTAGTTTGAGCAATGTTGTTTGTGCAACACATGGTTGAGCATTGCCTTGCAACAGGATTGGCCTGTCTCTGTTGACCACTCTCGGCTGCTTAATCATAAGCATCCTTATCACTTCATCCAATTGGTTGCAATAGACATCTGCTGTAATTGATTGACCTGGTTTCATGAAGCTGTAGTGGATAATACCAGCGCTGGACCACCAAACAGACACCATTAGCTATTTTGGATGAATATTCCGTTTTGGACTGTGTTTTAGCACTTTGTCTTTATCAAACCATTGTGCTGAATGCTTGTGATTGTCAAAAAGAATCCATTTTTTATCACATGTAACAATACAATGTAGATATGGTTCACCTTTATGTAATGACAGCAAAGAAAGGCAAGCTTTGAGAAGATTTCTCTTCTGACGCTCATTTAATTCATGCAGTACCCATCTATCCAATTTCTTTACCTTGCCAATTTGCTTCAAATGGTCCATTATTGTTGGAATAGTAATGCCAAACCATGTTGCTAATTCACGCGTAGGTTGAGATGGATTCGCTTCCACTACAGCTTTCAGTTCATCATTATCCACCTTGGTCTCAGGTAGCCCGCATGGCTCATTTTCAAGATTAAAATCACCAGAATGGAACTTCTCAAACCAGTGACATACTGTGCATTCATTAATG